GATAGATAGATAGATAGATAGATAGATAGATAGATAGATAGATAGATCTATTGTCATTGTACTCAGAAACCCGAGAACAACGAAATAAGGTGCTCTTCCACAGCATACAACTGAACAACACCAAAAGACATATACAAATAACAATGTAAAACAAATTAAAACAAATAACAGTTAAAAACTGTACAACCAGGATATATATATGTTAAGACCACCAGATTCATAACTCTGCATTTAACCTGATCACAGCACTTGGGTAAAAGCTATATTTAAATCTACTTGTCCTGGCTTTCAGCACTCTAAATTGTCTTCCTGATGGTAGGATCTCAAACAACGAGTGGCCTGGATGCGAAGGGTCCCTCAAGATCTTTTGTATCTTCCTTCTACATCCCATGTTATACAACTCCTCCAATGAGGGAAGAGGACATCCGCTGATCTTTTGTGCCCTTTTTATCACTCTTTGGAGTGCCCTTTTCTCCGCCTCTGTACAACTCCTGAACCACACACAGAGGCAATAGGATAAAATGCTCTCTATAGAGCTTCGATAAAAGGCAACCAACAGACTCTCTGGCAGTTGTTGCGATTTTAAAAGTCTTAAAAAATACAGTCGTTGATGAGCCTTTTTTTCTAGGGCTAAAGTATTTGCCCCCCATGTTAGATCTTGTTTCAGGGTGATACCTAAAAACTTACATTCTGTCACCTGATCAAATGTCAATCATCTACGTTTCTGGGACAGACAAAAAATATTTTATTTTTCTTATAAGTATCTATCTCATGTATTCAAAACTATATTTATTCTTATACCTGTATCTTGTAAGCGACTGACAAATCAAATAAATACTAAATACTAAAAAACACAGCCTTGACGCTAAAAGGCAAAAGTGAAGCTTCTTCTGATTCAGCCTTGGGTCTACAATTGGACAGGTAGTATAATTGACTTATGACCGCCACTGCAACCAGAACTTCTGTTGTTAAGCAGGGCAGTTGTTAATGAGTGCGCTCAATTTTAAAACCTTTTTTTTTTGCTTTGGTCATTAAGCAAATCCCTGTGGTCACTGAGTGAATAAAATGAATTGAAGTTGTTCAGTGAGTCTGACTTTTCCCATTTGCTTCTCAAAAGCTGGTGGGAAAAGTTGCCAATGGTGATCACATGACCTGAGATCATGCAACTGTCCTAAATACGTTAGTTGCCGAGCCACCCAAATTTTGATGATGTGACACTGCAATGATTATAAGCCTCAGGATCAGTGGTAAGTCATTTTTTTTCCAGTGCAGTTGTAACTCCAAACAGTCACTAAACAAATGGTCGTAACTCGAGGGCTACCTGTACATTCTCCGGAGCTTTCCAAAGTTTCAGATATGGATTGTTCTTTCCCAAGAGGGCACCTCAAACACTTTCAAGGGGAAATAATGGAGTGTTGAACCTAGAACATTTGCATGTAATCTCTAGTATTTAGAATAACAGAGTTGGAAGGGACCTTGGAGGTCTTCTAGTCCAACCCTCTGCTCAGACAGGAAACCATATACCATTTCAGGCAAATGGTTGTCCAATCTCTTCTTAATAACTTCCAGTGTTGGAGCATTCACAACTTCTGGAGGCAAGTTGTTCCACTGATTAATTGTTCTCACTGTCAGGAAATATGTCCTTAGTTCTAAGTTGCTTCTCACCTTGATTTGTTTCCCCACATTGCTTCTTGTCCTGCCCTCAGGTGCTTTGGAGAATAGCTTGACTCCCTCTTCTTTGTGGCAGCCCCTGAGATATTGGAACACTGCTATCATGTCTCCCCTAATCCTTCTTTTCATCAGACTAGACATACCCAGTTCCTGTAACTGTTCTTCATATGTTTTAGCCTCCAGTCCCCTAATCATCCTGGTTGCTCTTCTCTGCACTTTTTCTAGAGCCTCCACATCTTTTTTACATCATGGCAACCAAAACTGGATGCAGTATTCCAAGTGTGGCCTTACCAAGGCATTATAAAGTGATATTAACCCTTCACCTGATCTTTGATTTTATTCCTCTGTTTATGCAGCCTAGAACTGTGTTGGCTTTTTTTGTCAGCTACAGCACTGGCTGGCTCATATTTAAGTGACTGTCCTCTAGAACTCCTAGCCAGTATTGTCAGTATGACTGACACTAATGAGTAACAACAATGATGTCAGATCTTCGAAGGTTTCATCTACCTTCTACTTTCAAGTCATTGGCCTCAAGTGATCACCCAAGTCCCAGACCCAACTCACTTGAGAGAAAGGCAATTTCACTGAAGAGCATCCACTCGGCGGCAAAGTAAAAGTGGCACTGGACAAACAAGCCGATTCGTCCATCCAGTGGTATGGTGACAGAGCGGGCACTGGGGTCCCTGACATCCACCGAAAGCTGTCGGGAGACAGGGACAGGCTCCCAAGCTGTGGCGAGGCTGTGCTTGAAGAGGCAGTCCACCTGCTCGAAGATCCCCACGCCACGTGTGTGCATATTGCTGCAGTGAACCTGGAGATTGAGGTGAAGGAGCAGAAATGGGAACGGGAAGTGCAGGATAAGAGAAAAGACAACTCTGAAGCACGCTTATTTCCCTTCCCTGTATTAATAATCTAGCACAGAGGTCAGCAACATTAAACGCTCAAAGAGCCACAAAGGTCCTAACTGGAAGCCCCCCAGTCAATTCTGGAGCCAGCCAGAAGTCCGGTTCCCCCACCATAGAGTCTCCTATGGACACCATAGAGTCTCCTCCTAGCATGGCGCTTTTTTCCCCCTCTACCTGTTGTAACTGGAAGCCCTATCAATTGTGGAGCTGACCAGAAAACCCGCCCCTTGCCATAGAGTTTCCTCCTGGCGCGCCGTGCTTTCCACCCGCTACCTGGAAGCTCCTCTCAAAATTGTGGTGCTGCCTGGCAACAGGGAGCCCCAGAAGAGGGATGAAAGAGCCGCATGTGACTCCGGAGCTGTGGGTTGCCAACCCGTTTCTAGCAGAATGAGACGACACCCAAATGATTGGTAAGAGACCAGTTGTAAACTGAGGGGGCTATCGGTATTAGGAACGTATCTTTTAATTGGCCAAGCCCATTAATCCTACCAGGTTCTTCATACCAATCGGGGGCTTCTTCAGAAAAACGCTGTTACCTTCATATATGTGAAGGATCTGAGTCGGTCAAACTCAAACTCCATCTTGATGAAACCGTCAGGAAAAGATATTTTGCTCCAGCCCACATAATCGTATCCAGGCCAAACCCGGAACTCTTTGGTTTGGGTGAAGTCATCCAGCCCCACCACTCCATCCGTCAACTGGCCAAGACCCCCAAAATGTAACCTGCATTAGAATGGATCCCAAACAAAAAGAGGGAAAACAGGATGAGGAAAAGAAAGTCTAGGACCCCTCAAAACAGCTCTAGTTCCATTGCTTTTATGGCCTTCTGTGAAGAATGGGTTTCTTTAAATTCTACATATGAAATTCCGCTACATAATGCAGTACAGCAGCAGCACTTAAACATATGCCTAAGTACCCCATGCGGTAACTGAGCTAAGAATGTCCACACTCTACAATGTATAACAAGTTGGGATCCAGAAATGAACGTTCTTGAACAGAGCTTACCTCTTCTGTAATCCATTCTCCCTAGAAATAAGATCAGCATCTTCATTCCTATTTAGGAACATGGGGTCCTTGGTGCTCTCTGAGCTTGCTTGCTTTCTTGCAGACATTTCATTTACCCAACTAGGTAACACCATCAGTGTTACCTAGTTGGATAATGAACTGTCTGCAAGCAAACAATCCACCTCAGAGTTCACCAAGGACCCCACAGTTCAACTCTGAGCCCCAGATATTCTCTTCCGTTGGTATTAGGAACATGCAGAAAATTTGGTTTAGATAAGTATTTCAGATGCTGAAATAGTAATAACATAGGTACCTGAGATGTAGAGGCTGCCCATTGGAAGTTAGTAAGTCTACTAACTTACTAACGGACTTGAACTGTGGATATTTATACCTATTTTTGGTTTGTTCCTAAGTGAGTTACTTAGGTTAGCTTTGACTGAAGCAGCATCAAATCTCTTACAAAATAAATTTTAAAAATACATCTTCCTTTACACTTTGGGTATGAATGCTAATCCAGATTTCCCCAGCCAAAGATTAAAACTCTCCAAAACCTTAGCTGCTGGAACGTCCAAAATTCTAGAAGCCTGTAGTTACATATGACTGAAGAACACCAGAAGGATCGACCTGACACGATCTTGCTGTCAGCATTCCAACAAACTCCAAACCAATAAACTCCGAGACAAGCATATCCTCAAAGTTCCATTTTATTAAAGTTGTCATATTGGCACATCTGGGAAAACCCGAATAGGAGAGTTCCGGGTTTTCCCTTCCCAAAAGAGAAATCAAAGATCCATCCCCTGCACCCCCCAGTCCATCACACGGTCCGATCAAAATGTTATGCCTACTGAAGATATTCCTCCAGACACTCCTCCCCAGGTGCAGGGCAACATGTCCTTGACTTTCTGAGAAAGAATGTTGTGGAGTCTAATCTTCCACCTCTCTAAGAAATCCCCCCTCCCAATTTCCCAGGCACTAAATGTGGCAGCCTTGAAGCTTCCAAGTAAAATATGGCTCCCAAGGCTGACACTTGCAAGCCAACAGAGAATGAAAATGTTGAATAACAAATATCCAATTCAATCCTAGGCACTATGCTTGAAAGCCACTCAGGAGCCTCTTACTCACTCACTTGCTGACACTGGACCCGTCGTACGTGGAGTCGTTAAGGTAGACCAGTTCCGGGGCCAAAGGCATCACCTGACCTAAAGGGGCTGTATAGGATTGAAGGCCATCTGTGGAAGGACACAAGGCATTCAGAGGTAAGTTTCCAGCTTGTTATACTGTTAAGATGCACGTCTCAGATGGGTCCTGTGGAGAGAGGTTTTTCACGGACTAGAGGGGGTGTGGTTTTGTGTGCTGCCTACATCCTGTAAATGGGGCTTTGCTTGTTTACGTGGTTGCTGTCATGACACAGACCAGTGCTGGTCCATGGACTGAGGATTGGGGACCCCTGATATAATGTGTTTCAATTGAGTATAGCATGTTTAGAGAGACGGATTAATGTGGTACATGATGTGAACCCAGAAAAGTATATTTAAAAAGTCATGACCAGGCAGCAGTGCCTCAGATAGAAAATCCATACAGAGAGTGGTAAGGACAGCCGAGAAGATTTTAGGAAGCTCACTTCCTGTTATTCTGGATAACAGATACTTAGAGCTCAAAGCATTGTTAGAGACCCCACACACCCACTTTACGGTCTGTTTCTGTTGCTCTCCTCTGAGATGAGGTTTCAAAATATTTCTAGCAGGACTTCCAGATTTTGTAACAGCTTTGTTCCCTATGCCATCCACCTGGTAAACCCACAAGATTCGCTTTTGTTCCATGTACATGTATACATCCAAGCTAGACTGTGTTGTTTCTCCATGTCATATAATATATGTGGGTACATGCATAATTTTGTATTTCTTTATTTAGTCACGTTTATATAGTGTATATACATATATAGTGTTTATATAGTGTATATATATAGTGGTGACCCTTTGAGAGCTGTATGCAACAAAATTTCATTTTAATTTTTGCTGCTTAGTGTACATTCAAAATGACAATAAAGTTATTCTATTCTATTCTATTCTATTCTATTCTATTCTATTCTATTCTATTCTAATTCTAATTCTAATTCTAATTCTAATTCTATTCTATTTTCTATTCTCTGCACCTAGCCTGAAAAAACTGCTAAAACACACTGTACTTTCAAACAATGCAAACACCGCTTTACTCACCTTTCCAGACACAGCCATAGAGTTCCACTCGCAAGCAGACACTCATGACACGGTCTGAACGGGGGTAGAAACGGATGTACCGGGCAATGATAGGAGGTCCTAGATCCTTCAACACCACCTCATTGGTGTTTTCATTGCCTGAAATCACCTAAGAGAAAAGGAGGAGTGAAGAAGGAAATGAAAGAGGAGTTGAGTAGGGTCTAACAAATCAACCTTGCCTGATCTAGTGATTAGAGCAGTGGTTACAGGCAGTCCTCGATTTACGAGCACAATTGAGCCCGAAACTTCCATTGCTAAGCAAGACACTTGTTAAGTGAGTTTGGCCCCAACTTACAACCTTTTTTTGCCACAGTTGTTAAATGAATCATTGCAGTTGTTAAAATTAGTAACACGGTTGTTAACTAAATCTGGCTTCCCCCATTGACTTTTCCTTGTCAGGAAGTTGCAAAAGGCGATTGCATAACTCGAGGACATTGCAACCATGATAACTATGAGCCAGTTGCCCAGTGTCTGAGTTTTGATCATGTGAGCATGGGGATGCTGGATAGTCATAAATGTGAAAAGCAGCTACAAGTCGCTTTTTCCAATGCTGTTATTGTCAACTCATAAAATATTTCTATGGTCTTTTTAGAGTTGCCAACAGAAAGGGAGGGGGGAGCAGTGAGCAGCTTGCGTTCCATAAATATTTTCAAAGATAGAGACTAGGTGACTGAAGTTTCTGCCATGCAAAATTCTAATTGGAGAGCAAGACTGATGACTCTTGGCTATGGATGTGTCCCATTGGAGAATATGAATTATGGTACACCCAGCGGGTGCGGGAAAGCCAGGGTCAAGGGTAACAATGAATGAGGTGTCTCAGAGTCGGCTACACCCAGGCAGTGCCGGACATGTTAACTTCTAATAAATCCTTTTGAAGTTTTGGAAGTTCAGCTCGAGACTCATGATTTAAATGGAGGTAACTGCCAGAGCCCTGACAGTTATAACTTTGAACAGTCACTAAAGAAACGTCGAAGACTATCTCTACACAACCTTGGCAACTTTAAGATGTATGGATTTTAATTCCCAGAATTCCCTAGCCAGCCATACTGCTTGGGGAATTCTGGGAGTTGAAGTCAACACGTCTTAAAGGTGCCAAGGTTGAGAAACAATGGATTAGACAAAATGACCTGTTTCCATGTTATCCCACCATTAGAGAAGAAGTTACAATTCTCTCTATTTACCTCATTGCCCCACCGGTCACGCCAAGACATCCAGTGATGGCCATCCCGCTTGTAATGGAGCCGATAAGAGCGAGCAAATTCCTTGCCATGGCCACCTGCGTGGCGTCCCTGCGTCCCCACCAAGGTTAGGAAATGCAGCTGGCGCAGGTCTATCTCCAGGTACTCTGCGTCATTGGGGTAGACGGGTCCTGCAGGGCACCAAGCTCCATCGCCCTCACTCAGGCCCAGCCTGGACAACAAGAAGTGAGATAAGCCCTTTGGACTGCCCGTATCACAGAGCTCATTTTTTTATCCTATCTTTATTATTTTTGTAAATACCTCAAAGTAGCAAAGATACAGATGACTCGTTCCTTCTCCTATTTACCCCTCACAACAACAACCTTGTGAGGTGAATTGGTCTGAGAGAGAGTGACTGGCCCAAAGTCACCCAGGCGACTTTCATGCCTGAGGCAGGACTAGAACTCATGTCTCCTGGTTTCTAATCTGGTGCCTTATTTTAGTTCGATCGCAGTTTGACATCAAGATTTTTTTCACATGTCTCAGCCCAGGGCAGATAGCTCCCCATCCTATTATCTCTGCATTTGGGTTTATTTTCCAAAAACCTTCGTTCTGTTTTCAACCTGCTTGTTTGTCCAACATCCATCCATCTATCCATCCACCCATGGCTTCACAATGAAATGCACACCTACACACATGATCTCCGATTTAAAGGAGGGATGCAATTACCGTACACATTAACTCAGGGTTTCTCAACCTTGACAACTTTTAAGTTCAGCTCCCAGAATTATGTAGCATTGGAAGGGGGCAGCCTGGCTGGGGAATTCTGGGAGCTGAAGTCCACACGTCCGAAAGTTGCCAAGGTTGAGACACACTGCACTACCCTAAGGAATGGGGAGATGTTTTTAAAGCGGGGAGGGCAGACTTCTTCTTTAATACATCCAGTTCATTTTGAATTTTGTTTTGGGTTTTTTAAGAGTGTTCGACATGAGCCTCTGGGGAATACCGGCTCACACATCATGACATTATTACACAAATGGTATTACTTCTTGCTTGGCCTGGATATCTTAAAGCAATCTGAACTGCTTGAAGGACTATCTTTCCCCAGTTACATCTACCTGACCCACCAGAGTGGGGAGGCAGGGTATGATGTAGACCAGTGGTCACCAACTGGTGGGCCGCAATTTTGATGGTCCGCAGAGAAATTTCACCCCCAGAGCACCACCCAGAGCAATTAATTCAGGCTGTGCAGGAACACAAGGCTGCGCCGCCCACATGGCCCATGGGAACCTTCCCCGCCCACTCATTCCTTACCTGGCAAACTTGCCTGTCAAGTTGTTATTTTTCCTTTTTTTCCCCCCCGACCATCATCTGTTCTGCTGTGCCGGGAGATTTAGATTAGCTAGAAAGCAGGAAATTGTTGGATTTCTTGCTTTCTAGCTAATTTTTACATCTTCGGCTCTGCTTAACCTTCCTTAGGACTGAAGCTTCTATTATTCAGTGCTGACTCAGGTAGCCAATGGCAGAAAGATAGATCTCTGAATGAATCTGTGATTCTGTGAGCAACTCAATCTGCCTGCCTGCTTTGCCTGATTTTGGGTAAAAGTTGCTTTTTAAAAATAAAAAATAAAAAATTCAATATTTACATACATGGTGTGTTGTGAGTTAATTCTGTGAGTTTGCTTGCTAGCAAATTTTATGAGTTTGCTTACTAGCAAATTTTATGTGACAGACTCAGGGAGCTGATGGCAGAAAGATAGATCTCTGAGTGAATTGATACTTCTGTAAGCAACTCAGTCTGCCTGCCTGCTTTACCTGCTTTTGGGTAAAAGCTGCTCTTTTTTTATAAAAAAATTGAATATTTACATAAATATTTATAATATTTACATACAAGCCATGCCCAAGCAGTCACATGACCACCAAGCCACAACACCCACAAATTAGGTCACGCCCACAGAACTGGTTGTTAAGAAATTTGAATCCCACCCCTGCCTCTGTGTGTTTGTTTGTGTGTGTGTGAGAGAGAGGGAGGGAAGGAGAGAGAGAGGTTAGATCAGATCTCCCTCTCTCTTTCTCTCTCTCCCCCTTTCACCAACGTTAGCAAGCCACTGTCAGTCAAAATTCATATTAGTGGTCCCCGGGATTTAAAATTATGAGTTTGGTGGTCCCTGAGGTCCAAAAGATTGGCAACCCCTGATGTAGTCCACTCTCTCTTTAGGAGGTCCATAGTGAGACCAAAAATAAAGGGCCTTCTTTGTGGTGGCTCCCTCCTTGTGGAACATCATCCCTGTAGAAATAAGACTGGCCCCCACTTTTTTGATATGGTTTATCCAGCCAGCTTGGAGATCTCAGGAGAATACAGAGTCAATCAATATGGTTTGTTTCATTGTTGTTACTGGGGGTGGGGGATGCTATTAGATTTTGTATTTGGGGTCTTCCTTCTGAAAGCCTCCAGGGTCACTGAGAATAAGTTGTATATATACTTTTAAAATAAATAAATAACACTTCTGTAATTTACATCATTGTGTCTTTCGCCCAATGGCACCCCAATGTGCAAGCAGACATATTAACATTCCTGTGGATTGTTATGGATACTATTGATATTAGCTAGTTCTCCCCAATCTGCAAATCTGATAGATCACTGATAAAAAAAAAGAAAAAGAAAAGCTTTGTTGATTCCTTGTCATGTCAAGGAACGTTGTGGTTTTCCTTTATAAATTGATTCCCACAACAGATACTTTAAGATGCTTTCATAAATAAAAACTAATCTGGCCTAGAAACTATATATGAGAAATTGTAAGACTTCTATCCAGCTACTAATATCTATCAATTTTAAGGAAACAGATTACAACAGCAGGTAAGTACCTTAAGAGCCATTACGCAAATGATTCAAACTACAGATATTTTTATACTGGGCACCAATCTAACTTAATGTTTTAAATGTAAATAAGGGCCCAGTTCCTAATCCGTACGATATGGTACATTTGAATGTGTGTACATGACGAACGGGATTTTCCAGAACTTTCCACTTAACAGACGGAGCTCTGAGAAAGTATGCATCAATAAACAAATGTGTGAATCGGTTACGTCGTGCAAATTAAGCAGCAGATAGCTTCCTCACCTGCTGTGTTTTGCCGCTGTTGAATCATGCCATGAACTCGAGGCTGAGAGCGCTTCATCTGGAATGGCGCGATCCTGCATGCCGAGCGCATACCGACACTTAGCTGTTGAAGGGAAAACATGAAAGGCTAAAAAATACTCTCTGTTAGTGAATGCAGTCCCCAGATACACACCTGTAGATAATCCTTGATTTAGGGCAACAATTAAGATTAGAATTTCCACTACTAATCAAGGCAATTATTAAGTGAATTGACTTTGCTTGTTGGAAGCCAGCTGGGATGGTTGGAAACGGCAACCACATGACTCCAGCGTGATGACCCGGGGCGTGACACAAAAATAACAAAGTCACAAAAATAGAATAAATTCTCTTGAATGCCTCTAATGTTGTCCAATTATCCTTGGCTGGATATCAAACTCTTAAAGAAAACAGTCTACGGAGGGAGTATATGCAGTTCGAATCCAAAGTAAAGATAATTAGAAATAAAAAAACCAACACAAACCACACTGAAGTCATTTACACAGCAGGCCAGGATGATAAATTGCAGACTTCCACCAGATAACAAAGCAACCACAGTTGAGAGGAAGTCAAAACCCAGATAAGCTTCGACAAGACGCTTTGCTTCCAGCAATTTTGCCATGAGCAGTTTGTCCTTTTAAACAGTCCTCCCAGCTGCAACTCATGAAGGGGATCAGGGCCCTTTCCTCCCCCGTACACCACACCACTCATGTTTCTCCCTTATCCACTCCTCCCTGCGTGCCTTAGGATGAAGAGAAGATGGGCCTGGGTCTTCCTCTGAATGCCCATCCAGCCTGTGCCCTTCCCCAGTTTCCTCCACAACTGGAGCCACACTACCACTCCCTGTCAGCCGTTCCATCTCTCCCTCGGAGTCAGACTCCAACAGGGGCATGACACACAGTAAATATGGTTGCCAAGTACTCAAATTTTTATCACGTGACCATGGGGATGCTGTGATGGTTGTAAGTATGAGGACCAGTCCTAAGTCACTTTATTCAGTACCGTTGTAACTTCAGACAGTTGCTAAATGAATGGTGATAAGTTGAAGACTACCAGCATAGGAACCAGGTATGTTATTGGTTCAACTATGACTTATTGCAATGAATAAGACCAGAAGAAGGTCAATAAAACTAACGGCATCTGTTGACTGTTATTCATTTGTTGCATTTAGGCAAAAAAAACCTCAAATGCACAAGTATAAAATAAGTTGATATCTGGCTCAATAGTATGTAACTGTGAGAGGGATGTTGGAGTTCTAGAGGACAATCACTTAAATATGAGTCAGCCGGTGCTGTAGCTGCCAAAACAAAAGCCAAAACAGTTCTAGGCTGCATAAGCAGTGATAGAATCAAGATCATGTGAAGTGTTAACACCACATTATAATGCCTTGGTAAGGCCACACTTGGAATACTGCATCCAGTTGTGGTCGCCACGATGTGAAAACGATGTTGAGACTCTAGAAAGAGTGCAGAGAAGAGCAACCAAGAGGATTAGGGGACTGGAGGCTAAAACATATGAAGAATGGTTGCTGGAACTGGGTATGTCTAGTTTAATGAAAAGAAGGACTAGGGGTGACATGATAGTAGTGTTCAAATAAGGGGATGCCACAAAGAAAAGGAAGTCAAGCTGTTCTCCAAAGCCCCTGAGGGCAGGACAAGAAGCAATGGGTGGAAACTAATCAAGGAGAGAAGCAACTTAGAACTAAGGAGAAATTTCCTGATAGTTGGAACAATTAATCAGTGGAACAACTTGCCTCCAGAAGTTGTGGATGCTGAACACTGGAGGTTTTTAAGAAGAGATTGGGCAACCATTTATCTTAAATGGTAATGGGGTTTCCTGTCTGAGCAGGGGGTTGGACTAGAAGACCTCCAAGGTACCTTCCAATTCTGTTATTCTGTTCTGCTTATAACAGGGTTTAAAGCCAAGCTAATATTACCAAGAAGCATTTCTTGATCAGTCTTGGACTAAGAAGTTGCCAAGGCTGAAAAACATTCCAGGTAGTCCTGAACCACAATTGATACTACAATTTCAGTTGCTAAGCAAGGCGACTTATGAAGTGAGTCCTCAACTCACAAATACAATTGAGCCCAAAATTGCTGCTGCTAAGTGAAACAGTTTTGCTCCACTTTACGACTTTTCTTGCCACAGTCGTTAAGTGAATCACTGCAGTTGGTAAATTTGTAAGGCGGTTGTTAGGTGAAAGTGATCTGCCCATTGACTTTGATTGTCAGAAGGTCTCAAAAGGGGATCATATGACCCCGCTGCACACTGCAACCGTCATAAATATGAGTCAATTACCAAATGTCTGAATTTTGATCACATTCAAAGGGAAGTTAGACGGGACATCTATCTGGCATTGTATTTTTTAAAGTATATTTTGCTTTACATGTCTGGCATTGTATTAACCCACAAGCGGAGAGTCAGAGGGAGTCAGCCTCCTAACTGATTCCTTTCCAAGATTCTGCTGTTTCTTTTATTTTTCACTAGGAGGCGCTCTAATTTCACGTACAAGAAGAGAGAGGCCACCAATTCAGTGAATTTCAACAGAAATCGAAATCGAAATAAAACAAATCCAAAAGATAATTTAATTGATTCAATAAACAACGACATGACTCAGAAGTTAAATTGGATTCTTTCAAGATTCCCCTCCTGTATCAAATGCTGGAAGCTTTTTGGAATTCAGCTCAAAAGGTAAATTGTTCGGAAAAGCACCTGAGGAATTAAAAAACATACACACACACACACACAGGGTGACCCTAGAATGAAATCGAAATTGTCTGGTGATAGCATTCAATACCGAAGGAAAACTGAGGTTCTGTTGTCAAAAATATTATTCGCTGATGTACTTAGCTCTCTTCGAGATATAGACACAGCCATTGGCTTGCACAGCCTTTATAAGGGAGATTGACCATTCTTGTTTACGATGCATTAATCGTAACAACTAAGATGAATGTATTTATTTGATTTGATTTGTTTGATTTGTCAATCGCTTACAAGATAATAGGCATAAGTATAAACATGAGTAAGAATGTAGGAAATAGGCACGAATAAATGGAGACAATAGGACAGGGATGGGAGGCACGATGGTGCACTTATGCACGCCCCTTACAGACCTCTTAGGAATGGGGTGAGGTCAACAGTGATTAGTTTTAAGGTTAAAGGAGTGGGGGGGTTAGAGGATGTAACAACAGAGTCAGGTGGTGCTTTCCAGGCATTGACCACTCTGTTGCTGCAGTCGTACTTTCTGCAGTCACGTTTGGAGCGGTTAACCTTGAGTTTGTATCTGTTGTGTGCTCTTGTATTGTTGGGGTTGAAGCTGAAGTAGTCATTGACTGGTAGGACATTTGCCCAGAGAAGAATTGAAAGTCCTGTTTCCAGTCTTCCAATGGGCTTCTTACCCTGTTGACTTTCTTCTCCAACAGAGACAGGATACAGAATAGTAGAGTTGGAAGGGACCTTGGAGGTCTTCTAGTCCAGCCCCGCTGCTCAAGCAGGAAACCCTATACTACTTCAGACAACTGGCTGTCCAATCTCAAAGGCTTCCAGTGATGAAGCACCCACAGCGTCTGAAGGCAAGCCATTCCACGGGTTCATTGTTTTCACTGTTGGGAAATTTCTCTTTAGTTCTTTGATTGCAAGTAGTCCTCGACTTACAACAGTTCACTTAATGACCATTCCAAGTTACAATGGCACTGGGGGGGGGGGAAAGTGGCTTATGATCATTTTTCAGACTTTACAACCGTTGCAACATCCCCCAGGGTCACGTGATTTACCTTCAGATGTTTGACAACTGACTCAAATTTAGGACGGTTGCAGTGTCTCAGGGCATGGGATTCCCCTTTTGCGACCTTCCGACAAAGTCAGAAGAGTCAGTGGGGAAACAAGATTCACTTAACAACCATGCTACTAATTTAACAGCGGCAGTGATTCGCCCAACAAATGTGGCAAAGAAAGTCATAAAATGGGGCAAATCTCCCTTAACAAATTTCTCATTTAGAATGGAGTGGAGTGGAATAGAATAGAATAGAGAATGGAATGGAATGGAATAGAAAATAGAATGGAATGGAATGGAATGGAATGGAATGGAATGGAATAGAATAGAATAGAATAGAATAGAATAGAATAGAATAGAATAGAATAGAATGGAATGGAATGGAATGGAATGGAATGGAATGGAATGGAATAGAATGGAATGGAATGGAATGGAATGGAATGGAATGGAATAGAATAGAATAGAATGGAATAGAATAGAATAGAATAGAATAGAATAGAATAGAATAGAATAGA